TGTAAATAAAATACGTACATCTCACTTTACTTTTTGCTCTCATAGATATATAAGGATATTCGACTATTGACTGATGGTAAAGTGTCACGATTACGACCGGTCCCCAGTCAAAGCCTTCATCGATTTCAATAACGCCTTCGACAATGTTGAACATGTTTCGAAAATCGAAATAGTCGCATCGATTCATAAATTTATAAAACCTCTTCATCCTCCATTGGGCCATCGAGCTCATCACTTCACTCAGAAGTAAAACTACTTATAGTTCCGTACAAATAAAAGCACAACATAAAACAAACAGTCATAACGTTCATTACAAATTAATGACGCCCACTAGACACTCGTATTAGAGGGCGTTGCGAGCGCTACCTCAAAATGCATTATGAACCAAATAATAATACTAGTGGTAATGAAACGTAATGACAATTATGGCGTTTCATTAAAATCATTAAACGTTATAATCCGTGTTTGAGACCACCCTTTAATGGCGCCGGCATTCCTCAAGCGTGGGAAGAGGCGTGAGATAAGTAACAGTTATGTAAAGACGGAAAACTGTGTTTAACTTTGTTAAAGTTTTGATTGTTTTTAGTGTTCTGTATGGGTTTCAATATATGTGTTGTTCTCGATTACGAATAGGTTGTGACGTATGAACGAGAAGGTCAGTTTGTGAAGAACCTTTTTTGCGATCGCAAAACGGCGATTCTGCAATTGAAATTATAGAAAACTTTATACTATTATGTCTTGCAACAGAACCAATAAATAGTAATTTTAGACAAATCTTCTCTTAACATCAGGTGGGTTTATGCCATTGCTTGTTATATTTAAAAAAAATATGTATGTCGTTCTCTTCTGTTCTAGTTAGGGTTTTCATAACCCTCTTGGTCTCGAAAATTCGGTCTCGGCAATTTTATAGCGTTTTCGAGACTCGAACATTTTGGAATATCGAGACTTCTAATATTAACATTAGACCTTATATGTACCAGGTTTAACTAAATTTTACATTAATTAGGTAAGTACAGTATAATAACAGTAAAAATGGGTTAAAGTACTTATTATTTGATTCCTATTAACTACATTTATAGTTTTCTAAATTAAATAATATAATACTAATAATAATAACGCACACACTCAACATAGCCCCGCACTAGGGAAACCCTGTGTCGCGGGTACCATGGACACACACATAGACAACCACAAATTACACCCAAACTCACGAGAGAAATAAATGTAGGCCATACAAATATTTCTCCCGGCCCGGGAATCGAGCCCGGGGACCACTGCGTGGCAGTCCGGTATGGTAACCATTCGGCCACGGAGGTAGTTGTAGTAAATGAAATTACTACAATTTTTTTGCAAGAAAGAATGAAAATTGATTTACTGTTCACAAAAATTATCAAACGTAAATAAATCCATATGTGTTGTGTAAAAGAGAAGTTGTGAATGTTGCACATTTTATTTGAGTGGTACTTCTGAGAATTAGTCACTAAATTAAAAAGATTAAAAATCTACTAAACCAATAATAATTTCCTGATCTGGTAACAAGTCATGTAACATGTATTAAAAATGTTTCATTACAAGATGGATCGTCCACAGTTACTTCAAAAATTGAAATTGCGTGTTCCTGTAAGACATCCTCGTAACAAATGTAATCCATTTAGTGTTCCATTTCGCAAAACCGTATCTGTCTCAAATTCGCCAATTGCAAGGTTATGTAGGACGGTAAATAATTGCAGTGTAATTTGTATCCACCATGACTCTCCTCTCAGGACTCGTAAAGTTTTTTTTTACTTATTAGGTTCAGTCAAATAATTCGATCGTAAAAGTAGTGTACGCATAGATTTCTTTCTAATGTAGGGAACCAAACTTCTGTACAAACTCGCTATGCTCTTTACAGCTTTTGTGTAAACAAAATGATAAAAGAGTATATCAGTTTAAATAAAAGAACGTGTATTGACATGTAGGTACGTACCTACTTAATAATATTGTGCCAGACAAACACACCAATTACCTGGTATCAAAGTAGGTAATTCCCAGTAATTTGAGTAACGGAGCTTAGAATTATAAATTAATTTTATTTAAGATTAAGTATATTGAATATCATGATGTTTTTGTGTTTTACTGACATGATATTCAATCAAGTTAATTTTACAATTTATTAAAGCGACATATCTAGTAGCTATAAAGGTACCTGAATGAAGAAAAACTTTCATAGGTTTCTCACAGATGGCGCTACGGCAAAAAGCTTGTTGAAACCAAAAGCAAGATCTGCAACAAACGGAGAAATTCGTAAGGTCTGATGGTTCGTTTCGTAGCTCAATTGGGAGAGGCTCAGTTGAAATCTGGCGAGTTCAAGTCTAGCCAGATCGAAGGGATTTTTCTTTGTGTTCGATTTTCGTATTATTAATTGAATTTCAACTGCCTCCGTGGCCGAACGGTTACCATGCCGGATTGACACGCAGAGGTCCCAGGTTCGATTCCCGGGCCCGGATAAATATTTGTATGGCCTACATTTATTTCTCTCGTGAGTTTGGGTGTAATTTGTGGTTGTCTATGTGTGCGTCCATGGCACCCGCGACACAGGGTTTCCCTAGTGCGGAGCTAGGTAGAGTGTGTGCGTTATTATTAAAAAAAAATCTAGATATTTTTAATTTTTTGAATTCGTATGAATAGTTTTTCAAGTTCTATCACGTTTAAAACTTTACCAATGTCTACTTTCAACAAAAACAAAAACAATTTTAAGTTAAATTCATATTCATATATTAGATGCATCATATTACAGATTTTATATTGAGCATACACATAGAAAATATTTTTTTTTATGTTTGATGGTAAGTCGCAAAGATCTGAAAAACACTGCCACTGCCCGTTGCCCAAAGACATAAGTTGACAAGTCACATGTACCTGTAATTTCACCACTTACCCTTCAAAACCGGAACACGTCAATGCTGACATTACTGCTTCCCTGGACGAACTCTTTCACTAGGAGCTGTATTGCTACTAAAATATAAATCCTGCACTGAACTTTAGGAATGAAGCAGTCCATTATATACATAATTTACTTACCTGTGAAATAAATAAAATTTGGGAACAATAATGCGCCTCGGAGAAGTTTCAAAAAAGCAACACACTCACTCAAAGCCAAGTATCTCATCGTAAAACACAATCTCTAGCATCTCAATATTTGTTACAGGTCGCGTAGATCTGATGACAGTTGTTAAACTATCAGTGCATACGTGACCGACACACTGTCTCAGTGCGAGATGGGAAAACCGTGACCTTAACGTTGGTCTTAAAAGTTAAAAATAATACGAATAAAAATCTAACACTTTACTTCTTACATTATAGAACTGATTTAGTTTAATTTTTAGTTTGTCTTTCAAAAAAGCCGTTGAAAGCCAAGTTCTCCTGGTTACCAAAAAAATCGGATTTTTGTAAATTTGCGCCATTTGGAAATTTATAAAAAAGTACCATGGCATATTTTCACAACTTAATTCATAAATATTTGATATTTTATTTATTTTAAATTATTTCATTTATTTAGTTATTAGTCTAAGTGTAATAATTGTATTAATTCGTGTTTAGTCAGCATTCGTAGCGGCCTCAGTTAATTACTATTTTTAAGTTTTTTTGTAACCCGGACGTTGCCATTTTGCAACAAGTCAGGAAGAGATGACTATCTAGCTATAAGACCGCCTTGTACCCGTCTTTTGTCTTTTGCTTTGCTTTTATTTGTACTTGTGCGCAATAAAGCGTATTGAATTGTGTTGTAGTGAATTTATTTGAAAAAAAAACGCATTATTGTTTTTCCTTTGTGACGCAAAAAACATTAATCACATGTGATCATACGCCAAAAGTGCTTTTATCATAAGAAAGTTATGATAGCTTTTATCATAAAATATAACGAACCACATGAAACAAATTACGTGTATGAGAAATTTTACAACTCTTATACACATAAGCATAAAAAAAGTTGTTGACTAATCTCGTTCGTGGAATCTTTAAGCTTCTCCTGAAAAAGTTGCCATTTTGCAAATGTGACCTTATTACACTAAGGGTGCGAAATACATTTATGCAAGCTCACGTTGGAACGAGTTCGACATAACTCACAGATCAACTATTTTACAAACATTCATAGCAGAGAATTCCCAATAACTACCTCCAACAAAGTTATTAATTAAAATCCTTGGAAGCTGATTAGGTCGATCACGGGATGCCTCACAAATTTTCAAACTCGGGAGCTACTTTGGAATAAATAGTTTCTCTATACAAAATATCTACTCAAAGCTGTGCACGCGCCAAGTTCGCTATTCGACTTATTAATGAAATTTTTATTACATGGATTGTTTTTATTCGTAAACCGAATACATATATCATAAAATAGGATAAATAACAAAATTAAACAATAACATTAAAAAAAACATTTAATGTGTGGTGATAGCAATTCTTTACGTATTGTATATTTTCATATGTTTAATAAATAATAAATAAATATTAGATCATTAATAAAAAAATATTTCGATTTTAAGTAAATCAAGACAAACAATTGTCGGCCTAACTATCACTGGAAGAGAACTTGGCCCTTTTGAAAATGTTTGTTATTATGTGGAATATAAAATATGCGGTTCCGATACCATCTGCATTCAGAATAAATTAATTTACAACGACATTAATTAATTTAAAAGCCCAATTAGTGTTAATATTATTAAAAAACGTGAACATTATTGACTTCGTGTATTTACATTTTTCTAATGTTTGTTTAGAATTAACCGTTTGGTGATGTTCAGTTTTGTTATTTATGGATTATTTGGGTCTATTTATTATCTACCTAATAAATTATCATTCTTAAAGTCACTTTTATTACGCTGCGTATACCAGGCGTCTAAAAGTACATTCAATAATCTCAATTAATTCTTAATTCATTAAATCTTCATAGCTGTAAGTAAATAGAGTTCAAATTGCTAAAACGGAAATCTTAACAATTAAATCGAATTTCTTTGTTTCAGGTCAAGATACTCAAAAGACAACAGATTTCCTCTGCCAATAAACCTAAACCTAGATACGCGTTTAACATGCCGACTTGTGGCCGGGCTGACCAGAGAACAAAGAGACGTGTGTCACAATGCACCTGATACAGCGGCTGTGGCATTCGAAGGTCTGCAATTGGCGGTTAGGGAATGCCAGCATCAGTTTAGATGGAACCGTTGGAATTGTTCCAGCCTGTCTGTGAAAAGTGCCAATCCTCATGCAAGTGCCATTATGAAGAGAGGTAAGAGTGCATTTTTATAAACATTTTGATACATGGAACTAAATAATAATAATTTAAAAAATTCAAGTATCACCCAGGGCACACCATTTAGTCCTATCTTATTTAGATGTCATGTATCCAATCATATTGCCACCACATAAGAAATCGTGCATATACTAAATACATTAATACAATTTAAATTGAAACAAAGTCTACTGTCATGTATAAACACTATACTAGCAATATAAACATAATTATTACTACGGGATCGCACAGCTACCAAAATTAGTACGCTACAAACGCCATACCTTGAGTAACACATTATCTCACGTATCATTTCTATTTTATACGCAAGTAAAATTATTATTTTCCCAACCAATATAATATACGCAACAGCTAGACATGAATTTGATTAGCCTGTCAAAGCGGTCACAAACAAACCACAAATACAAGAAATATCTGCCCATTCAATTATCGTTCATGAAATATAAACTTCAACGGAGATAAACACCAGCATTTATACACGCAGCTTTGTTGTTAATGGAGAACCAATAACTCCACAAGTTTTATTTCACAAATATGTAGGTGGTAGCAATCAGGACATAATACTAAAACCAGTCCTCGAAGACGTGTAATAACCAAATGAAAACTTTATTAAAATAAACGCAACTAAAACGAAGCCAATCGCGATCAGCCATTGCATTACAATCTGAATTTATTACGACGAAAAATTATACACGCACATTAAAAACCACCAGAGAGGGCGATCAGACGCATTATGGCCGTAATATTCATATTTACAGGTCCCCGGTTGTTCGTTGGTCTCTTTATGTGCATATCTCCGGGTGTGAAAAGGCTTTGTCGTCTATTTCAATAATCGTCGCACACGTTGACGTGGAAATTTACGAGCATGGATGATGGGAAACAACAAATAAAGATGGTCCTTGGTAGTGGCCAGGTGTACCTCCGCTCCCGCGCCCTGCGATTTCACGCTACGTGTGGGTCCAGACCGCGCCGCCCGCGCACCTCGCCCGCCATCTCCTATACCAATTAATATTTACTGAACCGGGACCTTGGTTCGCTTGAAATTACTCAATTCTCTCTTTTATATCTTCGAACGGTTTAGTAATTGAGAAGAACCGAGTATATCATGGAATTAGCGCTCGTAGTGGCCATCGTTGAAAGTAATCTGCTATTGCTTTGTGATTGTGCGGCTCATGCGATACGTGTGGGTGCTGATACCTCCGCCTCCATCGCTAGTGGATTGTTACAATGCACAGCAATAATATGAAGCCTTTTTGCAATGGCAAAGTTAAATAAAACTTTAACAAAGTTCATCACAACCGATTATCAAAAAAAAATTGTTTGCTAGTACTATACCTACACTGGCAACAAATACTTAACCCAACTATTTACTACATCTCCCATATTTAATAGAATTGGATGTCGTGATATTAAAATAAAAACAAAAAAGTGGAGATAATTGTTAGAAGAATTAAGATATTTGGAGAATTAAAACACGTATAGTTACACGGATTAAGATGGGATCGTCTGCAGAGCACTGCGGTATTGTGTGCTGAGTTGGGCAGACGGAACGCACAGCTTTATTAGTATTGGTAATACCCCGTAACGACACCTTCCGGCCCTTCAGCGCACGATTCTGTTTAAATTGAAAGATTGTGAAAAAACAGCGTTACTAAACACTTAAACATCTTTCTTAACTTGCCCATTGTTGGTGTCCCGAATTGAAACGCCGACGGGAGAATGAAAGCAAAAAACCAAAGAACAAATCGAGAGAGGCTTTTAAATAGGATAATAGCGATCGATGATCGAAGAAGAAAGATAATAATGATTCGGGACCGTTGGTTTTTTGCCGGAGCGCGTAGATACATTGATGGAATGCGTGGACGGATGGCATTCTGGATAGATCACGGGGATTTGTTCCGCTTCCCTGAGATCCTCCACACGTTGTTAGCGCTCTTGTTGTACGTGACGCTGGTACAATACTGCATACTGTCAACGATTTAATAACTTTTGTGAGGCTAATGAGGCCATTGTGGGGATAGAGTTTTCACCCGGCGTGTAAATAGCGGCGATGGTTGGTGAGATTACAAGGTGGATGTCGGAGTACGCGTCGGATACGCGCGGGTCGCGTGATGGAATGGCGCGGCGCAACAGAGGCAGCCAGGGTGGCGAGTCCGCTCGATACCAATCTGACGGCACAGACGCACGTGACATGAATACAAGACGCGAATATGTCATAAAAAAGTGACGTTTATTGGCGTTTTATATCAACAACGTGTCCACAGGTGACAAAATGCTGTCAACAAAGTGTGCTTATGATGCTGCAAAAACATGTCTCGTTATGAGCCATCTTATCTGTCGAAGTGTCGTGGGAAAATTTTGTTGTCACTGAAACATCTTTATTCGTCTGAGTCGTATGAATTTTTTATTGTCGCTTCACGTATTTATAAATTGAGATCAAAATGTGTAGTTTTAAATGACAGCTCTATCAGGGTTAAGTAAAATGTCAACAAATATGATGTTAAGCGGGCCTAAAATAACAGTTTTCAAAATTTTAGACAAAGGCGAACGTGTCGAAACGTCTAAATGCGATGATGTGGCCGAGTCCTCTAATGGCGGTAGATAAGATCTCTCCTGGTGCGTTACTGAATCGTGCTCCTTCAGATGCTCCCAAACTGTGAGAAAAAACACAAAAGACGCCATAAAAAATCCGAATTTGTCCAAAGTTCCCTGTTATAAAAATGACATCGAGTGGTTTTTTGTTCTGTCGGATTATGAGGCGGCTTTTAAGGGTTAATTAACTCGAGAAGTGTGTTAGTGATGTTGCGGAATTTGAAATGGAATAATTTGAAATGGAGGAAGTTTAACCTGTTCCTAATTTATTAAATATGTGGTAATTCAACCTAAGTAATATAAATTTCGTGAATTGCTCAACAACAAAATTGATGAGTGTTCGATATTGATATTCGCTCAAAAATATTTTTTTATGGTTTTCATCATACTTATTTCTAATTAAAAACTGATTTAAATTAAACAAAATTATATAGTTGTCCTAAAAAAGTAAAGCCTGCTAAGCGACTATATTGTCGCGCGACAATGTCATGCAAAATTTATTGTAAGGTCCACTTGTTCGGTTGGAAATTTGTCGCTGATGACGTCACGCACGGTTTACCGTCCGGTTTCGGTAATTAGCAATTCGCAACAGTCTCAAAACGCCGACCGCCTTAATTGGCACAAAACCCTTCCAGCCACTGCCACGGACTGATGGATTTTTTCATAATTTAGTCACAAATGTTAAAGGGAAACGTGGTTTGATATTCAATCAAAATCGGTATTGCCAATCACATTTGTCTGGCAAGTACGCAAAGCACTTGTAGAACCGGATATGTTTTAATGTAAATAAACATAGGTATCATAATTAATCCCGCACCCAAACTCTTAAAGGAAATCGGACAGTGCCTTATTCAGTATTCAGAGAAATCTCAATGAACCTCGTTACAAAACGTCAACGATAATAATCTGTACATTATACGGAAAATTTCTACTGATTGAGCTCAGAAAAACTCGACGTGAGTTCATTCATTTTGGCGCCAGATTTATAGGCTATCGAAGCGAAAACCGTCACGAAAAACCATTTTAACGTCGCAAAGTGCACAATCGTAAATCACGCCGCGATGTGCGCGAGGGCATGCGCGACGGCGCGCGCGCATTGAAACAACGTTACACAACGCGGAAAAAGCCGACCACCGCTGCGCCAGCGCTTGGAAAAACTTATTAGTATGCGCATTCGATCAAATAAATGTCGCGGACATGCATTTTTAAATAAAGAATCGAAGATGAAATAAATTAATGATAATTGAAATTTGTATTTACTTAGGAGCGGCTGCGAATTTTTTTGTCGTCCGGCGCCGGGTTTCCGTATAAGGACCGAATGTAGATTTGCCAATTTAATCCGTTCGAGGAATCGAGGTGGCGCTGCGACGACGTGAGCTGTCTGCTGTCCAGCTGTCCTAGTGATGGACAGGTATAAGTAATTAGGCTCGAGAGTTAGCGGCTGCTTCGACTACTGCGACTATATTGTCGCGCGACAATGTTTAGTTATATCTATATTATGTTTAGTTATATCTGTAACTAAACATTATCGTGATTGCAAGCATAGAAAAAAGTATTGCAATATAAATCTTATGCAAATGACTATTTTGTTCAACAATAAATTACGTCGTAGTTTCCGTGTTTTAAGTCCTAACCAATCAAATTAGGAAATTTATGGTAGTAGATAGACATCGATTTTACATAGCGTCATGGCACATCTCCCCTTTTTTAACCGACTTCAAAAAGGAGGGCGTAATCTCGATTCGAGCATATTTTATTTGCGATTGCTCCGGCATTTCTGAACGGATTTTGATAATTCTTTTTGTTGGAAAGAGAATACCTTAGCATTGGTCCCATAAAATATGAAGTAAATATTCCACCTGTAAGGGTGGCAAACTAGGGGACGAATCCGGTTTCCCGCACTTTCCGGTAACCGATTTCAATAAAACTTGGCAAATACATGCAATTCCACGAACTTTTGTGATTGGGATTTTTTTAAAGTTATAATTTTTCTATATCTATGTTTCCCAGTAATACTGTTGATATGCTGAATTATGACGAGGAAATTTTAAATGTACGCAAAGCAAAATACTCACGAAATTCTAAAAATCCCTAATGCTACCATCATATTGAACTAAGTAATGCAAAATACCTATATCTGTATAAAAAATAAAGGCAACTTTTTTCCTAAGTTAGTGAATAAACCAAGACAGACGTAAAACTCCGCGTTAAGCCTTACTTGTCTTTTTTTACGAGAAACAACTATGACATAGTGACTTATAAGTAGTAAATGAAATTAAAATTGCTTGGATTTTAATGTTGCGAAAGTATTATAGAAGGAGCCCATTGGCCTGGCGAGGACGCGGTGTTATGTACCCCTTTTATGGAAGTACAGTAAATAACTT